CACTCAGGAACCTCTGAAGGGTGGTCCCCAAGATGGATCATCTCCCTCGAGAATGGACGCTCACCTTGCCGGGCATTTCCCTCACTGCCCTGATGGGAGGGCAGGTGTGTGTTTCACAGACACAGCGTGCTTCCTGCTGACACAGACCCAGTGTCTTAGGCTCTGTTTGTCCGCAGTTCTTTTGCGTGGGGGAAGACGGGGACCAGCTCTAATTTAATGTGATTGTGCAGCGCCCTGGCAGCGGGATCAGCGTGGCTTCCTTTATGGAGAGGAGCCCTGCCATAGCAACCTGCAGGCTGCCTTCTAGAGTCTCGGAGAGCTTTGTTCCGCAGACATGACTTCCTTTTTTTTTTTTTTTTTAAAGATGGGAAAGGGGGAGGGCTGGGGAGAAGGGCTCTGATATAAACAGTTACCAAGGAGACCCAAGTTGGGGTTGGAAAGGTTTTCTCCTTCCCTCGGTCCATACAGAAGGAGGAGGGCTGTGTGCCCAGCGCAGGGGCTCATGGGAGGCTTCAGTCTGGCATCCGGAGTCCTGCCTGCTGGGGCTCCAGATGTTGCAGAGTTCTCGGGCTCATGGGAACAGACGCAGGCAGGAGCTGGGGGAGATTCTGAGAGGACTTTGGGGTGTCCAGGAGCACTTTGAGGCCACGGGCCCAGGCAACTGCCCCACCAGCACGGAACGGGGGATGTGCAGGCCTGAACTTTCCATCCGCTGGCCCCTGCTGGTGTCCGGGAGAGAGCCGCAACCCTCCTTTCCCCTTAAGTCCTGGAGCTGGAAGTGAGGAGCCATGGGGTGCACGTGTTCGTCTCCATCTGAGGAACCCGCCCCGAGAAGGTCAGTTCCAGACACTGTCCCTGGCGGCAGACTGCCTTGATGCCCCTTGGCCAGGGGACACCCGCACCATCACTCGAGTGCAGGGGACTTCCTCCTGGTGGGGACACACCGGAGGCCTGAAGATACGGCTGCCTGGAGTTAACAGCAAGGTCAGCCGTTCCCAGGGTTGTTGCTCCTGTCTGTGGCGAGGGGCTCTGCCAGGCCTGGGCACTGGTGGCCCCGCTGGTCCCAGACTTGCACGCTGCATTTCCTGCTTCCAAAGGAAGGAATTTGGATTGGACACCAGGAAGGTCTCATGCACCTTCTAATCCACCTATAATCAGTCAGGTTCCCCGTGCAAATCCGCGTCTGAAGCCCTTCGGTGGAATAGAGCCCGTTCAGAGCAGTCCAGTGTGGGCCCCCTCATGCTGAGCCTGTGAACCCTGCTTCCTGGGCCCAGCAGCAGGGCCTTGGGTGGGAAGGGAGTTTCCTGGCAGCCCCGCTGGCAGGATGGGTTTAACCAGCAGGAACTTAAAGGAATTGTTCTGTGTTGTGCCACTGAGCTAGAGGCAGAGGTCTTCCTCTGTCTCCTTGGGTTCCCTTTCCCCACTAGACTGCTCACACTTCTTGGGAGAACCCTTGCCTTGGGGCAGAGCGGCTGGTACGGCCTGTCCACTCTGATGCTCCAGCCCAGAGGCTCCCCTCTCTACCCGCAGAGCCAGCTAGCCTGGTGTTCTGCTTTATCCACACAGAAGCCCTCCTCCCCACCCACGTGCTGGGCCTCAGGGGCTGGAGAAGTTGAGCTCAGAAGTTGCCATCCCTGGCAGCCCCCTTCCCGTGGCGCCGTCTCTCTGGGGGGCATTTTCTGTTCCTGAGAAGAGAGGCCAGCTCTTCCAAGAGGCCTTTCCTGGTTTCTTCAGCCATAAGCGTCTGCCCCCTTTGAAGCTAGGGCGTGAACCCGTCCTGTCCCGTCCGTCCCTATTGCGTGAACCGTGCCATCCATCTGTGTGGTCTTAGCACACGCCACCTTGTGCCATGGATGTCTTTGAAATTACAGGCTGACCGTTTTCTAAGGAATGTCCTTTTTTCTATTGGGCATTAACTAAGTTCCCCAGTTTGGCACCAGGGAGGCTGCAGAGACCAGATGCCGCACTTTAAATAATAGGAGTGTAGGCAACAGAGGGTCAGGGCCTGGCCAGTCCCGTGCCTGTCTGGTGGCAGAGCCGGGATTTAAAGCCAGGTCTGCTCTGCCACGTGGCTCTTCCCATCTTGCTGGGATCCTCCTCTGAACCTGTCTTCCCCTGGCTGGAGGATTGGCCCTGTGAAGTCAGCAGTTGGCTCGTTCTAGTCTCATGCCCTTGGTGCCTGGCACGGTGCCTCCCGCGCTCCCACCTGGCTGGCATGCGTTTCCCGCAAGTACAGGGAGAGCCACCCAGCACTCACAGGACATCGGGGTTTGCCTCTTGTCCTTTTCTTCAGCACATCTTCAGATCCACCTTGTTGGAGATGGAACTTCCCTGAAAGCATCTGTTCTCTGAGAAGAGATAGGGGTTGGCTTTTCTGCTGACGTCAGATCAGACCTCAGAGGTGGCTGGGGAGTGAGAAGCTCCTTCAGCCTTAGTCTGCCCATGCCAGCCTCATGCTGCACAGAGAACTCGGGACTCACCACTTTGGGAGGAGACATGGCATCCTGTGCCGTGTGCCAGGCATTGCGCTTATGGTAGGGACACACGGATGCCTCCCCAAGGTTACTCAGCCCACGCCTCCAGTTAAGCCGTGGGAACACCCAGAGTAGAGGGCATTGGCTGACTGGTGTGTGTGCCACAGCGAACATGGCGACAGGTAGCCTTGCTGTGTGAGGGGCAGGGATGGCCTCTCAGGAGAGGAACGTTAAGCTCTGTGGTAGAGGATGAGTAGAAGTTCGTGGGGAGGGGACACGAAGACTGTTGTAAGCCCAGGGAGCCCCATGGAAATGTGAATAGCTCAGTGCAGCCCAGAGAGGCCGGTGGCTGGGAGGCAGGAAGTGGGCTGGGCCGCTGCAGGAGGGGTGTTGAGAATCAGTGGCACTTTTCCCTCATTTAGAATATCTTCTCTGCCAGGGTCTCCTTACTCAGGGTTTAGCTTATTCTAATTGTTCTTATTGTTGAAGGCTTCCAAATCAATTGGTCAGGCCCCACATGCACCACTTCTATTTCTATTGATTGACTGGTTGATGGATTGACAGGGTCTCGCTCTGTCTTCCAGGCTGGAACTGAGGTGTTTGAAGCTGCAGTGAGCCATGATCACACTGCACGGTCATACGATTGCACGGTGGTGAGATCATAGCTCACTGCAGCTTCAGACACCTGGGTTCAAGCGATCCTTCCACCTCAGCCAGACACAGACCACCACACTTGGCTTTTAAAAATTTTTTTTAGAGATAGAATATTGCTATTTTACCCAGGCTGGTCTCAAACTGGCCTCAAGTGATCCTTCCACCTTGGTTTCCCAAAGCGCTGGCATTGCAAACGTGAGCCACTGAGCCAGGTTCTTGGAGACTGTCTTTAAGAAAATGCATATTCAAGTCTTCTGACAGTTTTTCTGATGAAGGATTTGTCTTTTTCCCATTGATTTGTAGGGCTTTCTGATAGTCTCACAGTCTTTTGTCCACATATAAGCACATTACAAATATCTTCTCCCACGCTGCAGCTTGCCTTTCCTTCCCTTAATGGTGTCATTTTATTTTAGTTTAGTTTTAGTTTTAGTTTTTTGAGACATTCTCACTCTCTTGCCCAGGCTGGAGTGCAGTGGTGCGATTTCAGCTCACTGCAACCTCCGCCTCCTGGTTGAAGTGATTCTCCTGCCTCAGCCCCCCAAGTGGCTGGGATTACAGTTGTACGCCACCATCCTGGCTAACTTTTGTATTTTTAGTAGAGATGGGGTTTTGTCATGTTGGCCAGGCTGGTCTCCTGATCTCAAGTGATCCGCCCGCCTCAACGTCTCAAAGTGCTGGGATTACACCCATGAGCCACCACGCCTGGCCAAAAATGTCATTTTAAATGGGAGCAACTGTGTTTTCATGTTCAGGCTTGTCACTTGATTCAGAATGGCCATATTTCAAATATCCTAACATTTGCCACCTGGAGAAAGGTGTTTCCCACACTGCTGTATTCCACCAGGGTTTTTAACCGCATTCAGCTCGAAAGTCCTGGGCAAGTGGCACTGGGCTTGTCCCTGTGGGTCTGCAGGCCTGGGGCCACAGTCAGAAGGAAACAGAAGGACCAAAAACGGAGATGGCGGGAGGAGGCCGGAACCGGGAAGTGGAGAGTGGACAAAGGATCGTGTCACCCCAGCCTGATCCTGAGGCTGGCGGGCACTAGGCTTCCCTCTGTGGAGGGGACGCACCCAGGTCAGAGCTGTCGTCCCAGGAACGCAGAGAAGGGAAAAATGAAACGTGGCCCCAGTGCAGGGGAAGTGAAGGGGGTCTTTGAATCTCAGGGGAGCTGACCTTTGCGCAGGACCTGGAGGGCAGAGTGGGCGTCAGCCGGGTGAGGGGGCGTGCGGCAGGAAGGCTCTGGGTAGAGGCGATGGCGTGCACAGGATTCTGAGGCCACTGTGCAGGGAGGGGGCGTGAATCAGTGGATCAAGCATGGTTTGTGGAGGGAAGTGGCAGGTGACGCGGGGAACAGACTCTGAGGGGACTTGTGTGCCTGGATCGCGTGGGTCACGGGAGCTGTTGAAGGTTTTAGAGCGGAGCAGTGCAGTGGCAGGTGTGTGACTCAGGGTCTGGAGAAGGAAGAGGTGAAAAGGTGGAAGGGGGAGGTGAGGCGAGGCCATGGGGACCTGGGCTGTGCGGGGGGAGGAAGAGGGAAGTGGAAACCTTGGCTATTCTTTGAGAGAAACAAGCCTGTATTTATTTGGATGCTGGAGAGGTCTTGACTTTGCAAAGCACTGGTGTCGCGGAGGCTTTACTGTAGGGGAAACGGGAAGGGCAAGCTGGCGCAGGAGGCCAGGAAACCCAGGTACTGGACTAGAGGCCAGCTGCTGGCTCAGCCTCTGGGGAATGGCACAGGACACAGTTGGAATGTCCCCTCCCTGTGCCGCCCCTGCATCCCATGAAACCTGCATCTAAGGACACCCACGTCCCACAACACCCACATCCCACGACAGCTGCCGCCCAAGCTCATTGGACACTTCTGTCTTACAGGACCTCCTCTGTCAAAGAGAGCAGCTTCGTGGAAAAGATGAAGAAAACGGTGAGTTTCCTGCGTGTCTTTGCTCTTCTCAGGAAGCCTTGGGCATGTAAGCCAGTCTAGCAAATGGCTGGCGTCACCGCACGGAGGTGGTCCGGGGCCAGGAGAGAGCCCAGCCCGCCTCACTTGGGAGTGCATTCTTGTCTACCCAGAGCCCTGAAGCAGCTCTGCAGTTGCTGGACAGTTTGTTCAAAAAGTAAACATTTAAGGAAACAATCTAAGAACAGACCCTTCCTCTAACTCATGAGCTGCCCTTCTTCTCCCTTTTGGTCCCAGACGGTCCAGGAGCAGAGGTAAATCTGCATAGCTGTGGTCATGGCACCACTGCCATTTT